ATGGCCCTGAGTGCCGAGTATAGGTCTAAATTTGAAGCAATTCACCTGCATACGGTGACGTCTCCATATGAGTGAAAAATTCTCGAGAGGGACGTTAAACAACAATCAATCAATAAATCAATCAATTTAGAATATATAAAGTTTTTGAAATAGGTAAATGTTTGTTTTTGTATTACATGTCTGCATTATGTTATAAGTGATATTTGATAGTGTCATTAAATTTTATTCATTGGTATAGGAGTTGCGGATAAGAGATTGGTAACAATCAATATTAAAGTAAGAATTGCAGTGCCCAAGTTTTGCTTTGGGAAACACAAAAGCTGTGTCCGATCAAAAAGTAAAATTGAAGATGCAAAATGGCAGTATACAACAAAGATTCTGAAAATCTCATTAAATTTTATTCAACAGTATGAGAGTAGTTGCCTTACAACGGCGGATTCTGACTAAATTTTTCAATGTTGGTTTTAAAAAGGGTGGAGAAATATAATAAGTATATTTGAAACAGATTTGAAATCGTCGAATCGAAACATTTTATTAGAATCCAAATTAATCGACGTTAGCTTCTCAGCCAATGAAAACATGTAACCATTTATAAACCAACTACATGTGGTACTAATGAAGAAGAAGCTAGATTGTTATATTGATAAACCATTTACATACCAAAAATCACCTCAATATCTGCAACTCTTTAGGGAAAAAAGTGTGGAAAACTGCTTCCCTAAAATCATTGCAGCGAAACGAAATTCAAACTCGAGCTGTAGTTTATCAAGATAAATTCACAAATAATCATCTTCAATAGCTGCAATTGTTTAGAAAAAAAGTGCACAGAACCAGACTGACTGCGGGACAGACTGACAGACAAAGGAACAGCTAGACAGACGGACGGAGAAAAAAAAACTATAATCCCCTCCTCTTTAAATGGTAGGGAACTAAGATTAACTAGCACTACTACTGAACTTCCAAATACTACATAAAGTTACAGTGTCATTTGTTGTTCGTGAGGTAGGTCATTTCAGTGCTTTATATTACAGATACTTGTGGACGGGACCCCCTCCCTTTCTTCAACCCTAGGTTTTGTTGGTCACTTTTCAACAAATCATATTTATTACTCTTAAACATTATGTAGCCATATAAAAAAAAAAAATCGTGAAAAACTTAATACATGTAATTGATCGATTGATTGTATATTGTTTAACGTCCATCTCGAGAATTTTTCACTCATATGGAGATATCACAGTATGCCGGTGAAGGTCTTCAAATTCTGACCTTTATTAGGCGCTTAGGGCCATTGAGAAGTGAGGGATTTTTATCGTGCCCAACGCCTGCCACTGACACGTGGCCTCGGTTTTTAATGTCTCATCCGAAGGACCTGCAACTTTCACTTCAAAGTACCGAGCGCATGGCGAAGGAACAATTACTACCCATTTTTTGTCGACTTAGGTCAGTCACAGCCGAGATTTACGGAAGCCCATTTAGGACCTATCAAAAAATATTTTTGAATTCGTTATAACGATTTTTAGAATTCGTTATAACGAATTTAATTTGCTATAACAGATTTTTAGAATTCGTTATAACGAATTCAATTTGTTATAACAGATTTGTAGAATTCGTAATAACGAATTCAATTTGTTATAACAGATTCATTGAATTCGTTATAACGAATTTAATTTGTATTTACAGATTCATTGAATTCGTTATAACGAATTTAATTTGTTATTACAGATTTATTGAATTCGTTATAACGAATTTAATCTGTTATTACAGATTTGTTGAAATCGTTATAATAAATTCAAGAATACAAATCTGTAATAACAGATTAAATTCGTTATAACGAATTCAACAAATCTGTAATAACAGATTAAATTCGTTATAACGAATTCAATAAATCTGTAATAACAAATCAAATTTGTGATAACGAATTCAATGAATCTGTTATAACAAATTAAATTCGTTATAACGAATTCTAAAAATCTGTTATAACAAATTGAATTCGTTATAACGAATTCTAAAAATCTGTTATAACAAATTAAATTCGTTAAAACGAATTCTAAAAATCGTTATAACGAATTCAAAAATATTTTTTGATAGGTCCTAAATGGGCTTCCGTAGAGATTCGAGCTCACGACCCCCAGATCACAAAGCGAGTACTCTACCGACTAAGCTACTGTAAACGGTGTGAAAAACCGAAAATAATCATTCAACAAAATATACCCCTCTATACATTTTCTACTGTAATGTAAAATGGGTTTTTTGTAGCGATTGTTATAATTATTATTATTTTGTTTTTTTTTATGATTTTCATGCCCCCGGATAGAACATGAGATCCCGGGGGTATACTGTTTTTGTCCTTTCTGTCTGTCTTTTTTTCTGTCTGTCTGTCTGTGTGTCTAGCTGTCTGTTTGTCTGTTTTTCCGTCTGTCTGTTGTGACCTTTAACATATACAGTAATTATTGAGAGGGTGGGGCTTTGCTTCTCATATTTCACAGATGTAATTTTTGTGAAAAGATCTTTCTTTGGGTAACACCAAATTTGACCTCTTGATATTAACTTTGGAGTTTGACCTACTTTTACAAAAAATACTCACTTTTACCTTAGCCATAACTTTTGAATAGTAGGAGCTAGGGCTTTCATAGCTGCAGATCTGTGGCCTTATTGTTTTATATATTTGTCTTTGACCATAACGCTAAAGATCCTGTAATGCAAAAGAGGTGCAGTTTACAGCGCAATATTTTTTGTGCACTTTTGGGGAGAATTTCTCCACTTTCCTCCATCGGTCAATTGACTAGCTTTCACTCCCTAATTCTAAACGTAAAGAGTAAACCTTTGGCCACCCTCTTTTCAAAGATTTATTTGATCTAATCAAAAATTGTTCAACAGAAAAATGAGATTTAAAATTTTTCATTTTTTCTTCTTCGTGTACGTATGTTCAATACTTCTGGTCACCATTTCAAAGAAAGGACATTTGTAACGATGAAACACCCTTCGCCCTCCAAAACAAAAGTACAGCAATTGTATTTTATATATGGGGGGGGGGTAATTGGCTCTGGGGGGAAATCTCACTCCATAACTGCTACACAGTGTAGGATTTCCCCCTGAAAAATTTACTTTGGTGTTGGATTTCCGTAGAAGAAATTCTGGTTTAGATCCAGTTCTCCGGGAGAAAATACTACTTTAGAGCCAGAATTAGGGGATATCCTACTTTAGAGCCAGTCTTCGGGGGATGGGGGGGGGGCTGCCCTATGAGACCGATACATGTGCATGTACCATGGGACCCCGTCATAATGTTAATCATCAGGAAGAAAAAATTCCTATTATTTGTATCCTGGCCTCATGGGTTTCCGATTGTCTTAACAATAACAGCGGTTATAATTATTTTCAAGTTAAGTCAAAGAATTTTAAACACTTTTAATTTTCAACCCTATGTATTGCATAGAAATTGCCGACAATAAACTGGCATGAATCGTCGTCATATGCATTTTCTAGCTATAAATAAAATGAATGCTGTAATTCGTAATTGACCAATCAAATGGAGCGTCATATGTTACCGATACTTTGATTCATCGATAAAGTTCTTTACTACAGTAAGGTGAACAGCTAGGACAATAATCAAAATGAAAAGCTTTTCTACAGTAAAAATATATGAAATACTGTGGTTTCATTAATTTTCGTTGGCATCAATTTTCGTGGACTTTGTAAAACAGGCATTTTGGAGGATACGTACTTTCATGGACAAAGGAATTTTGTATACAAAAAAAAAATAACATGTTTCTTGATTCAATGAACATTTGAATTCGTGGATCTGCTCAACAACGAAATTCTCGAAAATTGGTCCTCAACAAATATTAATGAAACCACAGTATTTCTAATCATGTACAGATAACTAATATTTATTGTATTAAGATCAATACCAGATTATAATAATGCTTGGAAAATATATGTTTCAGTGAGTAAAAAAATTTTTCTCTAAACTCGCAAATGTTTAATTCAATTACAATTATATTTTGTAGATGTCATTCATTCACAGCATGGACAATTTTAAAAAAATAGTGTTTTTTTCCATGACAGTTACAAACAGATGAACAGTCCTGGAGATGATTCCAAGGTCAAAATAAGTCACATTGTAATCATTTGAAAAAAAAAAAAATTATTTCATACAAATTTCTAGACTTTACACAAAAATTCTTACCTACTCTACACTTCTAATTTTCACTCATCTGTAAATAAAAATTCTTACAGACGCAACCCTTCTCATTTAAACTCATCTGCGAATTATGTTCTTCCTCATCTGAGTTTAAAATTTAATCAACTGAAATGTTGAGTGAATCAGTAATAAGTTGATGAAAGATAAGGTACAGGTTGTTCAGACTATGATGTGATAAATTTCTTGTTCTATATGGTTCCTGTTTAATTTTCGTCAGCGGCTTTCTCACAATTTTTGCAGTTTTAGAAGACAATGTGTTGCATTATTTATTTTAAATATTTTTTCATTGACTAATAGCACTGATAAGTGCAGATGGGGAATAACAGCGCTTTCTTTTATTTTTTACTGCCTAAAATATTACAAAAAATTACGTTATTCACACGAATCAGCGAATTTTATGACGGTTTAAGGCTTCCATAAAAAGAAAAACTAATAGAGTCACATGATTAATTTAAATACCAAAATACGTCACTGGAAGTGTATTTTATCAGATGATAAAGGTCCTTAGATGCAGTGCGAATCATAGGGGTTTTCAGACAATTCTAATAAATTAAAATTATGGTAATAAGAAAAATAAGAATTTTTACCACTGGTTGTATTGTTTTTTGATATTTACCTTTGCTTATATTGGTGTTGCGAAATTCCCTACCTCAGGTGTTCTTAGTAATTAAAAATATGACGTCATTTTAAGGAAAGCTCGGGCCACGAAAATAGACTATCGGAAACATATGACTATCGGAAAGATATGACGGCACGATATATAATGACACAAGGAAATTGAGATCATTTTTCCTTGAGTGTGCATTCAGATAATGGTGTGAGTTTTAAAAATGCATGTTTTTTTTATTTAATAAGAGTGCATAGATGCGTTACTGCATGACAATTTTTGAATTAATTGTTAGCTAACATTTTATTACCTGTGAATGGGTAAAAAAAAAATCCCGAGTATACGTTTTATTATGAAGCAACAAAATTTTTAAATATTGATAGTTTTTTGGTGATTTGCAATTGAGTGACACATCATTATAAAAAAGTTAGGCTCTATTTAGTTTTTTGTTTGTGATACATAGGGTGAAGATAATTAATGATTTTAATGAATCGTAAAAATACAAAAGTTAAACCACATAAAATATCAAATTGGGGATCGAAATTATGAAGAAAAATAAATAATACATAAAACAGAGCAAAGAAGGACTTCTAAAATGGATCCAAATAGGGTCAGGTAGCATTGAATAGTTAGGCCCGCCGTGTGTTTAAAATTCTGATCCGGCAAAAGAAAAAAAAATCGTACATAATTCAATGTTTAAACAAGAGCCCAACAATCAGTTTAAATAAGTATAAGACTAAATGAATTTGCTGGCAATGTCTTAAAAAAGACTGTATTTTTTTTTAAAACATTGTTTGTCAATAGCTTCCCTTATCTTAAAAAAAATCCTCGTACGTTGACCAATCCATGCTCTTGAGTCTAGCATAAACTATCTAAAAACCGAATATGCAGGTGACAAGGGCCTCAAAGAGTGCATTTCTACAAAAGTAGGGGAAATTGGCAATGGGCAAGTTGTAGTTATCACGTTTATCATAAAGTCCTCTTGTTTGGTTACCTGTACCACTGACGTCTTTTCTAGATACCATAATAAACATATGTGTCCGACTCATTGAAGTCTTTTATAAGGTTCTCTAGGATATATTGAGTTGACATATGAATGAAAGTATAACTATATAGTTGATACGTAGGTATGCAATTATGCTTTCAAAGACTGTGGAAGTGTACTCCGTGTTTTCGCTTTTTCTAAACTAAAAATGTATGACGTCATAGTTGAATATGAACGTCCACTCACTGCAAACGTGAACTGTAAAAATTTGGAGATTTTCATAAACTTCTCACTTTATTTCAATCTGAATAAAAAGTGTTCAAAAAAGAGAATAAAAACGTGTTTATTATTTTCTTTTTTAATCTTATATAACAGAATATGAAGGATAACTATGCTTTATTACTTACTTCTTTATTAACTACTTCTTTACTACATTACTTTAAAGTCAGCGTGTTCAAAATTAATTAATTGAGAATAAATGTTTGATATTTACCGGTATTATACCAAAGGACATATGTAGACTTTATAATATGTGTATAAATTCGTCTGGCGTAGGTGATTAATTTTGCTTGGAAAAAGTATGCCGGTTTTGTTTGATTAAAGATGACGATATTTAGTGGAAAATTCCCTCAAATTTGTAAACTGAATTGATAAGAAAATATTTTGTACCGGACTTAAGTTGAAATATATAGAGAAAACGAAGTTCAACACTATAATTATATTCCATTTATTTCCTTATGAGTATTGCGGATATGTTCTTTAAATGATAAAAAACTATTTTTAATGTAACGTGGAAATGCATTTCCTGTTTTTTTATAGACTTATTTTCTATTGGTATACACGGGACTTTTATAGATAGGGAATTACTGATGGGATTGTGTAATAATACAAATTCTCGCCTCCAACATTTAGAAGGACACGTACGAGCGACATAGGGTCCATATATTTTGTACCAGAGCAGTCCCGCAGCAGTCCCAAAGCGGTCCCAAGAGAGACCTGGGGTCTGTGTCTTACATGTAATTGTGAGGACTCAATCTTTTCATCACACTTCTTTTATAGCATAGATATAAGATTCGAAAACAGCATTCCTGTCATAGAAAATAAAGTGGCAATGAGAGGGGTTCCTAAATGTTATACACTGTACATGTATGTGATTGATAATTGAATGTTGCTTTTCCCAATTTTTGAATTTTTCATCCAGATAAAGGTTAAAGTCAAGCGTTGCAATTTTGATTTATGCATAGTTGCATTATTGACCAAATCGGAACAGGACCTTTTCTTTAAGTTATATCCAAGCGACCCATGGCATTTACTATTAATACTTAAGACTAAGGATAGGAACAGTCACTCCATGAGTAAAGCACCATAGATTTTGATGCTTTACTGATTGATTGATTGATTGATTGTATGTTGTTTAAAGTCCCTCTTGAGAATATTTCACTCTTATGGAGACGCCAACATTTGCCGCAGGAGAGCTACAAATTTTGTCCTTTACTCGACACTCAGGCCCATTGAGCTGTGAGGGATCTTTTTCGTGCCAGCACCTTCTGTGACACGGGACCTCAGTTTATACGTTCTCATTTGAAAGGACCGGTCTCCACGTCCCACAGTGGGATCTGCACTGGGAAGAAGACTGAATTTATCATTCAGGTTTCAAGAGTTCGAAAGGAGCATTAAACCCTTAGGGCCCATTTTGTACCTGGGATTTTGTAGAGCTTTGTTACAATGTAGTCCATAAATATACTCAAACTGATATGCAAAGTGGAATGAATTGTTAAAAAAATCTATATATGTATGTATGCAGTTTCGTTAGAAACGGGGGAAATGGGGGATTAACTTTCTTACCTCTTTTGATTTTTCAACAAAATCCCAGCTTACGAATGGTTGAAGTCTGTCACGTGATGGAGGTGGATTACTTCTACTCAGTCAATTGTATATAAATACACGTCGTATCTTTTACGTAACTAACACAACGTTTAACTGTGATTAAGCATACATGTAGCAAGTTAAACATTTATAAACCACAGATAATACGTAAATCTTTAATCGGTGGGAAAAATTCGTCAAATAGAATTTTAGTGACAGGGTACACGATGGAAAAGGAAACCCTTTTAGGATCTGTCAAACATATTTTTGCATTCGATATACATGTAAGGAATTGCTAAGTTTGTAATAACGATCAAATTTGATTAGTTATAACAATTTCTTTGAATGCTGCCAAGAATACTTCTATCAAATTTCACAGAGTGAGTTATTCTTGTCCTCGGAGAAAGTGTGCTTATACTAAAGTTTGTTCAGCCTGACTGACAACTGTACATTTGACTGTTTCGATTTGACATCTCTTTAGTTTTTCTTGTATCAAGAAAGGGCATACATAAAGGATAGATAATTGAAGGAAAATACACAGGTCTTTTTAAAAAAAAATTAGATAGTGTTTAAAAAGGCGAAATTAAAATCTTTAAAAGTGTTGTGCCAGGTGGATTCGAAAAAGAAGCAATTCACGGTGTAAAACCAACTCATATATCAACTGAGCTAGTCCGTCTATAAGAAAGACTAGCATAAATTTGAAGCAGATTTTAAAAATCAGGTTTCCTTATTTTTTGTAGGTTTTTGTGAATTTCGACCCTAGCTAGGGCAGGGGTGCCCCTAAAAAGTTCTATATTAAATTGTTCCTTACATTATAACCTATCAAAATATCATAATTTTATTTAGGGGAATGCCTGCCCTGAAGGACTTCTAGGCCAAAATACATGCAAAAATCAACACTTTAACGGACAAAATGGTGTTTCAGCCAACTTTCGAGGTTTATTGTAAAGTTGTAAAAAATAAATTTTAGGTATAAAATACAAATTTGAAAAATTAAGACACATATATGGTAGAAAACAACAAAAAAAAAAGATTAATATTTAAATGTCACTTTTTCCGGGAAATTATTCTCTCCTATAGGTCAATTCTTTTGTCAAAGCGAATACATCCTTTGTTATGTAACAGATTAAAATCGTTATATCGAATTCAAAGAAATAGTTAAAACAAATTAAATTCGTTTTTACAAATTCGACAATTTGTTCAAATGAATTCAAAATTATTTTTGATAGGTCATAATTAATGATCTTTCGTAGGATGATACCTCGCCAGGTATGAAATTCACTAACCAGGTATTATTTGTTACATATTCTTTTAGTGACAGCGTACGGGATGATATCTAGTTGGTAAATTTCACACCTTGCGAGGCGGAGCCGAGCAGGTCCCATATGAAAAAAAATACTATTAGAATTCAATCGGAGTATTCAGCTGACTACTAGTTGACGGTCAACTGACCGTCAATTGACCATTAGTTGAATTTTTGCCATGCAAATGAGGGAGCGATCAACTCATCTTCATAGAGTGGGCCACTGTTGAATGCTCCTCTATTTTCCTTGCAGTTGACCGCTAGTTGAATACTCGACTATTTACTTTGCAGTTGACCGCTAGTTAAATACTCCTCTATTTCCTTTACAGTTAACCGCTAGTTGAATACTCCACTTTTTCCTTAGCAGTTGACCGCTAGTTGAATACTCCTCTATCTGTTTACAGTTGACAGCTAGTTGATTACTCCTCTATTTCCTTTGCAGTTGACCGCTAGTTGAATACTCCTCTTTTTCCTTTACAGTTGACCGCTAGTTGAATACTCCACTATTTCCTCCGCAGTTGATCGCTAGTTGAATACTCCATTAGTCAGTACACGTATGTTGCATTCATTAAATATTTGAAAAAAATGGAGGGAGATTTGAAATCTTAGACAAGCAGTGTTCTTGAAAATATGAAAAGTCAAAACAATGGAGTTTCTAAATTGACATAAATGTACTTGTAAATCTAAATGCATTATAAATGAATTGAGCTGACACACTCTCATAAGTTGTTATATACCTTCTTCAGTTTTTGTGCAGAAAAGGTTATATATAGAACTAGTCTAAAGAAATGGTATATATTTTACCAACACAACAAGAAACACAACAAAACACTTGATGCATGACAAGTTTTTAGAATTCTTTCAAAATTTAAAAAAAGTACAAAAAATAGGGACCTATACTGGCTACAGTGTTTTGCATTCCTATTATTTGTTAGGCAGATATTATAACCCAATTATACCAAGAGATGAAAGATATTGTATTAATTGTCAAAATGTCGTTAAAGATGAACATCATTTTTTATTTGTATGTCCTCTTTATAAACAACTAAGAAGTGAATTTTGTACACTTTTTAATAATACATGTTTATCTTATGAAATTCTTAATCCAGCAGATGTTACATCTACAAGAAATATTTAAAATTTCATACGTGATGCTTGTAATATAAGAAAATCTATGTGACTATATATTTTATGTTTGTTTACTGTATGTATGACTTGCGCCACATGTGATTTTTGTCAAATTGAATAAATTAATAAATAAATATTGGTTTAAAAATAACAAGCCTAGTAAAACAAATCTTTACATTTTATATACTTACAATAGTACATGAGATATATTTTACACGCTGAATCATCACGAAGACAATAATGTTTCAAATCAAAATTCCCACCTTCTACAGAAAACACACATGTACTGATTCAAATCTTGGTTTTTGTAATTATGGTATAACAAGCCCGATCTATGATTATGTAATTTTGAACCCAACATAAATGTAGCGTGGGAGAAATTTTCTAACATGTCAGAGTGTTCAACTAGTGGTCAACTCTTGTTTTGCATGAAATTTCAAAGTATTAGCTTTCAAGTAACGGTCAACTGGCCGTTTTTTGCAAATCAGTTGATCGCTTTTCATACAAGCATTCAACTCCGAGTGGTCAACTGTTTTCGCATTATCAGTTGACGGTCAACTACACATTTTCGTATGGGGTTAGAAATATTCTGACCAAGTATCATCCCATACCCTGTCACTAAAACACCATGTAACGAATTTACCCCACGGCTGAAACATTTACGCATTACCTTTTTTTTAAATATTTTTTTCTCTAATTATCTCTATGATTTCTATCAAATAATATTTTAAAGTAATTCTATCTTCGGCCGGATACTGGCCTTATAGAGAATTAACCTTTGTATATACAAAGTTACAAATGTATTTCTTTTTGTTTCTATTATATAATATATCTCTGTTCATATACATGAACGTCAGACCATTTTAGTAAAGAAAAAAATCTTTTACAGGACATTGTGGAAAGGTTGATATCTTTGGATTTCAAAGGCTTGAATCAGCCATGGAATGGAACTGCAAAATGATATTTTTTTCAACTCTTTTTTACGGTACATATAACAAGAAGAACTGTGTGTTTTATACCGATAGTCTAATAAACTTTGCCTTGGTACAAAAGCATTTAAAGATATACAACACATTTTTTTCTTCAGAAATCAGCTAATGCTGTTCGCAGTACTGCTAAGGCTACCCGGAGCTTATTATGCATTTAAAACGTAACACTCTTTTGCAAAGTTGATTTTTAGTTTTATTTTTAAGTTATGTACTTCAGTGCGCCAAATTCATACAGAGGATCCCCAAGGCTATATATAAACATATTTGTTACGATGTCACATTACCTTGTTGATCACGTGACGGTCATTTCTTCTTTTTGAAATGTTTCACATAAATCGCTTCGGCGCAGGTTGTTAGCATAATTATTATTTACATTTGTCACATAAATAAACTCGTTACATCCTTGTGAAACCGAAATGTGCTTGGGAAAAGTTATACTATTTCTTTGGAACAATTTATTTCAGATTAACTTCAACTTACCGGCAAATCTGAGGGTATTTTCCAACGAATATCGTCAACTGTTTTAAAACAAAGCCACCATACATATTTCCCAAGCAAGATTCAGTTAGAGTGGAAACTCTATTAAATAATTCCATAAAAGATGTTAAATAAATCCTCATAAACAACCTGCGCCAGGCTCTTTTACACACATATTTTGAATTGTGCCTTTGTCCACGGGTATAAAAAAGGGTAAATGTCAAACGTTTATTTTCGTACGGAGTTTGAACACGCTGACTCTTAAACAAGAGTAACAAAGCAAGGTTATCTATATTATTCGGATATATTACAGTTAAAAAAAGTGATAAAAACACGTTTATTTTAAACTAGAATTCTGCAACTTTATATGCAGATTGAAATAAAGGTGTAAAGTTTATGACATTCTCCCCATCATTACAGCTCAAGTATGCAGTGACTTGACGTCATTTTCAATTATGACGTCATACATTTGTAGTTCAGAGAAGTTCATGCACAGAGTACACTACAATATTCTCTGGGAAGCCTTATCGTACCTGCGTTTTAAACAATGAATGCTCAATTGTATTGTAACAATGAATGCTTAAATGGTTTGTAGACATGTAACTCTTGTGCATGGTTCAACTTTTTTAAAAATTATCTATTATTTTTAAAATAAACTATTTAACATTTACTCATGTTGGTTTTTTTTCTTAAAAATTGTGTATTCAAAACCTTAATTACTGATAATTGATTGTAACGCATACCTGCTTTCGATTAGCTAAAATCACGTCAAACGTTTAAACGGATGTTTCTTTCAAGCTTAAATATTTTTTTAATTCTCTTCAATAGGTACTTTTTCAGAGGGTAATGTCAGTGATTGGTTTAGTGCCCAAGAAAAATGTCGATATGAAGGAAAACAACTCACAACTAATTCATCTGCAAGTGTAGACTTTTACTGGACGGGAAAACACATTAGATATTCCCAAATGATGAATATTTTAGGTAAATCAAATAAATTTAGAGGATAAAATGGTTTAGTTAAGTATGCCTACTACGTACTGATTAAATTACTTTTTTGTTATAACTATTCAA